TTGCTATAGCAGAGTAGAATCATGGATGCTACTTCTATTAAGTCTGAATACTCTTGTGGTTCAGTATTTGCTGAATAAACAGTTCACTACATTTTCCTGTGCTTATTTATCAGGGCCTGCCTGGTGTGTCAGCTACATTTACCACCACGACCATTATCACCAATATGCAATTTAGTGTTCACTGCTGCCCACAATCCACACACACAAATAGCCGCCTGCCTTACATCCCACGGTCCACGAGAGCCACTTAAATCCAGTAAAATATATTTTAGGTGAATATTGCTAGGTTCTGAAGAGAAAAAGACAATAAAGAACATGGAAATACAAAGTGTAGGTAGCATTTGTTATGAAATTTTACAAGCAGTGGCTGAGAAAAGCCTGAGAAGGTAACATTTAGGAAAAGACCTGCTGTGAAGGACTGACATAATTCAAGGACAGCATTCCAGGCAAAGGGAAGTATCCATGCAAAGGCCCTGGGGCAGAAGTCCACCAGCCTGATGAGGAGCAGTGACGAAGCCAGTGGAGCTAGAGAGGGGTGTGGGAAAGTAGTCTCAGATGAGGCCAAATCGTGAAGGGCCTGACAGGTGACAGGAGTTTTGGTTTGTCCTGAGGGACCTCAGAAGATCCTGGAAGGTTCTGAGCAGAGGAATGACAGAACTTCGTATAGGTTTTAAGAAAATCACTCTGGCTGCCGTGCTGAGAACATGCCATGCTGAGAAGACAGCAAGGGAAGAAACTGTTAGCACATTTAACCAATATGCCATTATCCTATAAATCATAAGCAAGTAAGATAAAAAAAGAAATCAACAGGAATTAAAACAGTCCCTGGTGACTGCCTGCCTGCCTACTTTGGTTACCATGGCTGTACCCAGAGACCGGATGTATGAAATAAATGTCAAGACTGGTAACAACAGAAGTCCGTATGGATATCGTAGATAAAAGCTTTTATTTACTTAAATTCTCCTAAAATATAAAAAAACAGAATGGTTTCCTAACTTACAGCTTTTGGCAGTGAGTAAAGGTCATAACAAAGCACAATAAACCCCAACTTGCCAGCTTTTATTTTTCCCTAAAAGTAAAGTCCATTTTCCTACATTCATTCATTTAATGAGATACAAATCAGGTGTCTTTTAAAGTGCCCAAACTCCTACCATTACCGTACTGCAGATGGGAATTATGAGCAGTTAGAATGCATCCACTTAGGTACTCAAGGTCACTCAAATGCTAAAGAGCTCCTGGTTTCTGAGACAGGGGAAGGATTTTCCTAGAAAATACTTGAACTAAATCCAGGCAAATATGGTCTACGTCTTCATCTCGTGGTTCTTAATGCTTTAACATATTGCAAGACTGTTTATTCAAATCTAATTATGTGGTAACAAGACCTGAGAGTGTTTTGTACAATTTGTTTTCAACATTCCTAGATCCACTTCATTTGCTAATTTTCTATTCTACTATCCATACTTTCCTTTGCTTCATCTGTCTTCTTTTCTTTCCACAAATTCCCGAGGACAATCCCTAACAAAACTATTAGTCCTAGGGTTCGGTTGGAGGTAAATTTATCCCAACAATCCTCAGGTCTGTGGATATCTAGAGTGTAAATCTGTAAGAGAAGATCACAATGCTGCATTAGTATTTAAAATAAATTTTCTGGCATCACAAATAAACACATCAGTACAGAGAAGAAAATTGCACTCTCTTACAGGATTTTAAGCAGTGGGAAGCCTTTAATGTACCCCAAACTGTTTCCAGTGTAGAAAAATCTACTGTTATCTCTCACTGGCTAGGTATTATCTAAGCTGTGTCCTAAAAACTTCCACTTGAGGGGTGCATGAATGCTCTGAAAGGCAACCCACATTATTTTTAGTTCTAACTAATTAGAAAGCTCTAAATATTTACACTGATCTAAAGTCTGCCTCCTACAATTCCTACCCTCCAGTTCTAGCGTTATTCTTTGGAGCAATGGTTCCCAGCAGGTGAACAAATCCCATTTGGGAAGGACAAGTCTATTGTGCAGGGCTGTCTAGAGCACTGGAAGGTATTTAACATACCTGGCCCTCACTCACTAAATGACTGTGGATACCCCGCCGAGTTTATTTATGATAACTGAAAATACCCCCATGCATGTGGAAATCTCCTTCCCATCCCCACACAGAGAAGGGGACCTGGCAATCTAGACCTACTGTTAGTGACCTAGAACAAATACGTTCCTTTTTCTCCATGGCAGTCCTGCAGATATGTCAAAAAAGTGTCATGTCCCTGTCTTATTCATTCCTAGGCTTAACCGTTAGCATCCCTCATTTCCCCAAATATTCTTTATTATGCGGCCTCCAGACTTCAAATCATCATGATTTCCTTTCTTCCAAATACTAGAAGTCTATGTCCATCTTTTTTTAAATTTTTTTTTTTTCAACGTTTATTTATTTTTGGGACAGAGAGAGACAGAGCATGAACGGGCGAGGGGCAGAGAGAGAGGGAGACACAGAATCGGAAACAGGCTCCAGGCTCTGAGCCATCAGCCCAGAGCCCGACGCGGGGCTCGAACTCACGGACCGCGAGATCGTGACCTGGCTGAAGTCGGACGCTTAGCCGACTGCGCCACCCAGGCGCCCCTAGAAGTCTATGTCCATCTTAAAATATTGTGGCAAGGACTGGATAGAAGACCACAAATGCAATTTAGAATTTCAAGATGGGTTTAAATATTGCTTACAGTATTTGTAATTGCCCTCGTAATTTTTGCCTTTGTCCACTAATATCCAGGTGCTTAAATATGGCTAAACATCCATTATCCTGGCAAGACAATCAATTGATGGTGACAACCCCCACAGTGCTGCGTTATGGGCAAAAGGGGATGCTAAGAAATGCTGAGGAGGAAAATGGTGAAATCTAGAGAATTCTGGAGAATCACCAATTCCTACCGTTTAAAATTTCATTGTGAGGAAAACCATGAAGGTGATACAGCATGAGGTTTACTTTGTGGACATTAGGTTTTGGTTTCCTTCTTACTATGTTATGCAAGTCTTGTTTACACTGATAAGTAACTTGTAATGATGTGTATAAAACAGATCATCTACAGAGAGGCTAACACCTTTTCGAATCCATTCAAAGAAAGTAACAGTAACACTGATACAAAAATAGAGTCCATTTAGAGGCGCCTGGGTGGCTCTAAAGCATCTGTCTCTTAATTTCGGCTAAGGTCATGATCTCACAGTTCGTGAGTTCGAGCCCCACATTGGGCTCTGAGCTGACAGTGCAGAGCCTGCTTGGGATTCTCTCTCTCCCCCCTCTCTCTGCCCCTACCCTGCTTTCTCCCTCTCTCTCTCAAAATAAATAAATAAACTTAAAAATTTTAAGAAAAAAAAAAAAGAGTCCATTTACAAGCAACCTACTTCATTAAAATTAGATTTGGTTCATTCATTTTACAAAAGTAAATAACGTAGATCCCAATATAAGCTTGTGGATGATGGCTGAACACGCTGAAATGACAGTTTCCCACTATGTAGGCAGAATTCTGTCTGACATGTGAGCACTTCGTGTACTATCTGGCCTTGACTGCTAATGCCAGTGGAACCCATCCCTATGAATGATTAGTTTGCTAACCATCACAGCAGCCCACATATTAAAAGTACAGTTATGTTGATCAGTTTGCTTTCAGAGCAATTCAGCTCAACCCACAACCTTCAGACATTGCTGAAATTCTCCCAGACATCAATCAGAAGTAATTCCAGAAAAATCAGAGTGGAAAAAAAAAAAAAAAAATCTAGGTTTAGTTTTAGATTATTTGTCTAAAGTAATACAGTGAGCTTTTTTAGATGATATGTTGAGGCACGGGAGGGGGTGGTTCAAGATAGTATAAGCCAAGTAGTTGTTTGTTTTAAAGAAGTACGTTGCTTGGTAAACAAAGAGGTTGTTTCTGTTTAAATAGTTTTTACAATTTATAACCCAAGGAACAATGAGGGAAAGCGTAAGAAAACGGTCAAACCTGGTGTGCCAGATGGGCTCCTACAGCAGCCAGAGCAGTGTAGTAGGGCACCGTCTGAGCACTGTTCACTCCCACCAGGCTCAGCGCCCCCAGCATCGCCACACCGAAGCCACTAAGCCACCGCTTGGTGTTTTCATGGAACCGCAGTGCCGTGGACTTAAGACCAATCAGAGCATCATCTCTTTTGTCCTAACATCAGAAAGTAATAATAAACTGTGTGGTTTTTATTGACATACCACAAAATTCACCATTCTGGTTGTATAACTACCACCATTATCCAATTCCAGAAGAAAGGGTCTTTATCTTCCTCCCCCCCACCCCCCCAGAAGAAACGGTCTTTCAAAGGACATACGCTGTGAAAGCTGACAGTAACTTAGAAACACTGGCTGATCAGTAACGAATGTGCAGGCCAAATCCAGGTTAAATGTCACTGCTAAAACTATCTTCCAGCTCTATACATTGCTACATGTCACTGTATTGCTTACCACCCTATGAATGACTTTTAACTCTACACGGACCACATTAGAGTCAAACTCAAGTCTAACTGTTCACATAGCTCCTTCTTCCCTCTGAGTACTCAAGTCCCAAAAACTTCTTGTACATTTTAGTTTCAATCTTGAAGCCGCAGATGCAGAAAAACACTCCACTGGCACCTGACCACATCTATTCACATTTCACTACTAGTGTGGTTTATTCCTCACCTCTCCCATCAAATCCTCTAAGTAAAGGTCGATTCTGGTGATACACTCCCATCCACCTGCCCGATCTCTTCCAGCAATTTTATTTCTAAGAACTTTCACATACTGTTGTGATTACAGCCACATGATGTCAGAGGCTGTAATGCCCAACTCTGCACCCAGATAGCTATCTGATAGGCTATCTTTTGGGCTTCCAAATCCAAGTAACAACAAATGCAGGATTAACGTATGTTTTTCCCTTCATACTGTAAGCACCTTCAGGTGCAAACTGTCTTTCATTACACGCAGTACCAAAGTGTGAATGAGTGTGTGGTGTTTTACTGAAGAAGTGAATCTAACTGAAATACAGATATCCTCATCATTGGTTCCAGACATTACTGTGAAAAGTATAGGCATCTCTTCTGAACTGTCAATCAAGTTTCACTTCAGGAAATCAGGCTGATTAGAGACCTAGCAATCTTCTTCATGACAATACAAACTCAGTGGGGGAGAGGGGTAAATGAAAGAAAGCACGATGAATTCCAGACTGGAATATCAGAAAACATTCCATCGAACCAACATATATTCTTCAAGTAAATAATTGAGAAGACAGTTACATTTCAGAAAAATACTGAGAAGAAACTGTTTCAAAGTTCGTAATGTAAAAGGAAAATTAAGAACATAAATCAAGAAAAGCAAAAGTGGGGTTTTTTTATTAGCCATATGAAAAAGGCAGTATCAAAAGCTATAAAAATGTTTATATTCCTTAACTAAGTAATACACTCCTAAAAATTCATCCCCAAACACATAAAGATATTAGTGATTAGAACAACATTATTTATAATTGCAAAAACTCTCAGAACTTAAATGGCTCAAATGGACAAATTATTAAAAAGATTTATGGCAAAAAAAAGATTTATGGCATATTAAATCAATGGATTATTATTCTGCAGTCTTAGAGTGGTAATGACAAAAAATATGGGAAAGTGCTTACTACCCACATGACTAGGAAAAAGATCTGCCTGGTAGAGGCCTCCAAGGAAGGGAGGAGAACGTGGCAGTTAGAAGTGCAGACTGTAGAGACTGTCTGGGTCTGAATCTCAGCTCTGCCATCCACTAACTGTGTGACACAGATATGGTTCTTCTCCACATGTTTCCTCATCTATAAAATGAGGATAATAAAAGCACCTTCCCGGGGCACCTGGGTGGCGCAGTCGGTTAAGCGTCCGACTTCAGCCAGGTCACGATCTCGCGGTCCGTGAGTTCGAGCCCCGCGTCGGGCTCTGGGCTGATGGCTCAGAGCTTGGAGCCTGTTTCCGATTCTGTGTCTCCCTCTCTCTCTCTGCCCCTCCCCCGTTCATGCTCTGTCTCTCTCTGTCCCAAAAATAAATAAACGTTGAAAAAAAAAATTTTTTAAAAGCACCTTCCCTCCCAGGTTGTTAAGAGGATTAAACTAGTATTTGTAAGGTTTTTTTTAAACTGTGCCTGGCAATACAGTATATACAATTTAAATGCTTGTAAATTAAAGAGTTGATCTCTTTGGTAAACATACATATACAGGAAACAAAAATACCTTGTTGGTGCCAAAGAAGTGTGCATGATTTTCTTTTCAGAAAACATACTTTCCCTTTAATGTGGTTCATAAAGTTCTTAAACGGCGATAATAACTAAACCAGAGTTAAGAAAAAAGACATTTTTTACCTGGTGAGCATAGATAGTATCATAAATTAGCGTCCACATAATTCCAGAAAAATAAAGAGGCAGACAAACAGATGGGTCGCAGGAGCCCTTGATAGCAGACCATCCAAGTAATGCTCCCCAATTAAAAGTCAACCCTACAATTGGTGAGACAGAGGGAGAGGGCAAAGACACTTTAGACTCCCAAAGCGGGGAGGGGGCATTGGCATGTACCAAGTGCTTCTACGCATCAGGTTCTGTGCACGGTTTGCTACTAGGTCGATTCCTGAAATTCTCTCAGCTCTCTGTGGTGATGAAAAGCTACTCTGCACAAAAAAGGAAACGGGTTCAGAGAGGTTAATTGACAATTCAAATAACACAGGTAATAGAAAAAGTACTATCACCCTAATAGGAGGTTTCACGAGAACATTCCCCCTACCTAGCACGGTGCCTGGCAGTCAATGAATGGTAGAAGCTGGGGTTTCAACTTAGATCTAGCTGAGCCAAAACCTTGTGGTCTGTCCTTTAATCACTCTCCTTCCCCCATAAGTGACAGAAACATGAGTACAGACGGGAACACTTATTCGTTCTGTAAGCCCATCCTGAGGACTGTAAACGAACATCGACATGCGGACAACTCTCAAATCTCTATGTGCATTCTGATCGGCTCTACACTTCAGACTGGACCTAGAACTGTCTGCTCGACATCTCTACCTGCAAGTCCCTCAGGTACCTCATACTCAGTGGGTCTCACAGGTGTTTTCTCAGAAACCCCCTTTCTTCTTTTATTCACTGAAAAAATGGTTCAAGCATCTAGAATACCTTTAGGAATATTCTAGCTTATTCTAGTAGAAGGCATTTTTGCAATAGATTTTGATTTACCTACCCGTCTTTTGTTTGCTCTACCAACAAATATTTATTGAATACCTGTGATGTGCCAGGTGCTATGGTAGGTGGTGGGCCATCCACATGCAAAGAAAGCTTTATCTGTTAGGCATTTATTATTTATAACTGGGGAGACAGAGGAAGCCCCCAGCATCTTCTTGTTTAGTTACTGCTGGTGAAATGAGGAAGTGCCACTCCGGAGTGTTGTGGGAGCCAGAGGCGAGACTGGCTAACTTTCTCTGGGAGGGCTAAGGAAGACTTCACAGACAGGGGCTGTCTAAGCTGTCACATACTAACCCTTCCTGCCTGAGTGTGCTTTTCACCCCAACCCTCCAAGTGCTCAGGGCATCCAGGTCAGTCACCTAAAGAGAAGGGTATGGTCAAATCCGTTAATTTTCTTCTTCATGACATACCAGATTTTAAAAAAAGCATTTCAGGAAATAATAATGATGATAATCTTAATAAATATATAAGGTTTCTTAGCCAATAAAAATGGCTAATTACCCTACCTTAAAATATGAAATTCTATTCTTGGTTTAGAAAACTTTATGACTGACTGGACATTTTATCACTGCCACATTACACACACACACACACACACACACACACACAAAGAAGTTTGAGGGTATCCAAGGAAATACTTGTAGTTATTTCAAGCTCACCCAAGGCTAATTGAGGCCAGTATGTAATTCTTTTCATTAGCGGGTAGGTGATGACAAGAAGTAGGGATGCTGCTCCCAGAGCTATACTGAAATCAAGAAAAAACATTAAAGATTAATGTCACCATCTGTTAGAAATTGCTAAATAAGACAACAGTAATAATACTAATTGGAAATGATTGATCTTAAATTATATATTTTGTTACATAAAATTGTTTTCCTGGACCTTGATTAGGATAAAAGATGATTAGAAGGTATTTTAAGTATTATAAAACAACCAAACAAAATAATAATGCATATAGTGCTTTCATACATTAGGTGCTGTTCTTACTGCTTTACATATGCTAACTCATTATAATCTTCACAACAAACCTAAGAGGCAGACAGTTTTATTCTACTTGCTTTTGCAGAAGAGGAAACTAACGCACAAAGAGATTAAGTACTTTCTCGACTGTCACAGAGCCAGTCAGTAGCAGGGCCAGGATTCAAACCTAAGGCAGGATGGCTCCAAAGTCCAACTTAACACCCACTCTATGCTAGTGCCTCTCTAAATGTTGTTTTAGATTACTGGAGATGTCCAAACAGAATCAGAGTCAACACACTCCTCCCTATGTGCACGATGGGTGCTACTCCTCAGAAGAGGACAAGGTCACAAAGCACCTATAAAAGGATGACAGCATAAGATGTTCTTAGGCACCAGCTCATCTAACACCGCCCTCCCAGGACAGACCTTCCAAAAGCATTTTCACGTGATGCTATCAGGGCAAAGTACGCAGTTAAGTCTAGTTTCTATAAAGTGACACTTTTTGTCCTTTTTTTTCTCATTTAAGTACTTTATTTTTTTTTTATTTATTTTTTTTATTTTTTTTTCAATGTTTATTTATTTTTGGGACAGAGAGAGACAGAGCATGAACGGGGGACGGGCAGAGAGAGAGGGAGACACAGAATCGGAAACAGGCTCCAGGCCCCGAGCCATCAGCCCAGAGCCCGACGCGGGGCTCGAACTCACGGACTGGGAGATCGTGACCTGGCTGAAGTCGGACGCTTAACCGACTGCGCCACCCAGGCGCCCCTCATTTAAGTACTTTCTAAGCAGCTATCTGACGCACAAAAGTTTAATTCTGTCTCTATTTAAGAGACATAGGAATGAATTCTTCCATTTTTTTTCCTTTGTCATTGATAATGAACATGACTCTGGGAAAGACCCAGTTAATCTTTTTGCAAAATGAGTATAATTACTTCTATCTACTTTAGAGATACTGTCAGGATAAATAAAATTACACATAAGGGTATATACACACATCCATGTATGTATCTGGAAAAGCTATGAAGGTGCCGTGTGTTCCCCAGGGAACATGCAATGAAAGTATAATGGTGGCTCAGGATAAATTAAATGCTGCTCTTCCAATTCCTTTGGCTGAAAACATTCCTGATTTTACAACATGTGGCAACTTATTTATACTTGCTAACTTACAGATGCTCAATAGGTAACCAATAAACAATTCTGTGACAAAGATATTTCTATTTTATTTATTTCTACTTTCTCCACTTCCAAAAGAGAGATTTTTATACACGATTCTGAAAGAGACATTCACTATACCTGTAGTAATTCAGACACAGAAGAACACCCAGTGCCAAGGTCAGCTGTCCCCCGAGGAAAATAAAGGATTGAAAAATTGAGATGTCTCCAGCAGCTATTGGACGATTTGCTGTTCTTACAACCTTAATACATAAAACCAGATACCTTAGCCTCATGTAATGGTTCCATCATGGATTTAAACATGCAATCAAGAGAATGGCCATGGCAAGCACTAAAGCAAAAATATGAATAAAAAGTGAAATCAACATTGGAAACACTGCCAAAAATGAAAACTTCATATTTAAAACAGCTTTGAAAAGTACCAAAAATTCCCACCACTCATTCCACTTCCTTTCCTTCTCCCATCTCCATCTCCAAACAGACAAAACAAAGCAACTTCCTTATCTGGCTATTTAGCTACCCAGCTTATTAGCAAGTATATGCCTAATTTTCAGAGAGCAAGGAGAGACAATAATAATGATAATTCTCAGGAAAAAGGAAATTGCAGTGAATGTTTTGATTACAGGAAGCACTGCAATTAGAAATCAAATGTAAATACAGAAAGAAGACAGATTATCTGGGTTTGAAACTGGGAGTGCTTTTGCCAGGTATTTAAGAATGCGTCTATAATCTAATATTAATTGTACCCAAATGTAAAGAGCAGACTCAATGTAAGAATATGAACAGACAGAGCTATTATTTGGACAAATAATATACATTATTCTTTTCCTGTGTAGAGATCATGAAATGTGATTATTATACACTGAACCATTAAAAAAAAAAAACAAAAAACCAAAATTGTCATCATTGTTAGAAGAACTCAGGATCTGGGATCCAAGAGCCCAGTGTTCCATCACCTACTGGCTGTATGAATTTTGGCAAATTACTTAACCTCTCTTGGGCTTAGGTTACTTTCCTGCTAAAAGAAAAACAGAAAGAGAGAAGGAGAAGAAGAAGAGAAAGGGGTATTAAGAACGCCTACCTCATACAGTAAATGCAGTGTCTAAAGCATGTAAGTATGTAATAAATGTTAGCTACTATTAATATAACATATTTTTGTTTTGATTCCGATTTATATCAAGGGTTAGCAAACTATGGCCTGTGGGCCAAATCCAGCCTACTGCCTATTTTTGTTTGGCCCATGAGTAAAAAGAATGGATTTTACTTTTTTAGACAGTTGAAAGTAAGTTAAAAAAAAAAAAAAGAGTAATGTATTATGACATGTGAAAATAATACGAAATTCAAATTTCAGCATCCATAAATAAAATTCTATTGAAACGAACATATTGTTAACATATTGCATATGGCTGCTTTTGTGCTCCAGCAGAATCAAGCAGTTGCAACAAAGATGGTATGGCCCACAAAGCCTAAAATATTTACTATCTGGTCCTTCACAGAAAAAATTTGCTGACCCAATTTATAAGCATGCCCCACTGTGCAATACAACAGTTTGTCAAAAGCTACAATGACTCGCCTTGGTTAGAGTGCCAGAATCGGATCTTTTACCTTTGATTTTGTCCCTAGAGTCTTAGTTGGAAATATATTTATGTCCTATTTGTTGTAGGATGTTACAATTATTCCGGCTAGTACGTGAGTGCTCACAATGTGACACTATTCTGACAACTATGTATGCATCACACCACTGAATCCTTACAACAACCCTGACTTCTAGCCACTCACAAGTTCCTGCCATTTGTTACCGAAAAATGAGGCAGAAGAAGCTTGGTAACTTTCCAAGGTCACAGATGGTTAGTAGAACAGTCTGTCTAGGCCCACTGACCACACTAGTAACCACAGATTATACTGTTGCTTTAGTGGTGATAATTAATTAACCTAGCTAAATTCGAAATAATTAACCTAGCTAAATTCGAAAGCTGAAAATAAACAAGCACTCC